TAATGCTGGGTGTGAGTGCTGCTGGGATGGATTATGGTTGTGAGGGCTACAACTGCCTTGGGGCAGATAACCTAATGCAATATAAGGAAGGGAGAGAGGCTTGCTCTCTGCCACTGCTTCTCCCTTTTAGCTCTTGCTGTTTTGCAGTTTTCCGCAGCCATGAACTGCTTGCTGCCATGTGCCACTCTGCCTTTGAAACAGCTAATTATAGTCTGAAACCTCTACAAACCATGAGCTAAGTAAATCTTTCCTTAATTCTGAATGTCAGGTATTTCGTTCCAGCAATGAGAAAACAAATCGAGATATAACAGAAATGTTTGTATGAGCCAAACACTGCAAGTAACCCAAATGTACACCAACAGAAGAACAGAAATTTGTGAAGCTGACCAACAGAATATTACCGGGGGGTGGGGGGGGGGGGAGAATGAAAAATCTAATAGAATGACAAGAACAAACTTTAACTTTATTAAATAGCATAAGCTAAAGAAAATACTTCAACTCATTCCAGCCAGCACCCAGGTCCGACGTGTGAGTGGGACTGCCCGGGGCCCTCCACATACTCACTCCAGCCAGCACCCAGGCCAGGCGTGTGAATGAGGCAGCCCAGGGCGCTCCAGATCCTCACTCCATCCACCACGCAGGCCCAGCTTGTGAGTAGAACCACCCAGGGCCCTCAGGATCGTCGATCCAACCAGCACCCAGGGCAGGTATGTATGTGCAACTTCCTCCATTAGACAGGCCCAGTGTGGAACCCTGCAGAACAACCTACAGAGAGGCCAGAGGAAAGACCCACCCAGCTGATCCAGGAGCAGAACATCTTGCCAGAATGGCAGTGTGGGATCACTTCCAAGGGCTGCCGCAGGAATAAGTGGACCACAGCAGCCAGAACCAAGCCACATCCACCTGGACAAGTTTGAACTTGGTAGATCTGGACCTGGTGCTAAGGTAATAACTACACTAAAGCTCTACACCAAAGGTCAGAAGACAGTGCTATACAAAATGACAAACAGCAGGAACAAAATGCATTCTCAGGTCCCCAGACCAACTAGAACAAATGCAGGAGACAATAGCATAGAAGAAATTGGAAATCACACACCTGAACTCTCTGAAATAATAGCGTCGGAAGTAAAGAAACAAATGCAGAAAGGTATAGAGAAAATCAGATCAGAAATAATTTCTAAAGTAAAAAAAGAAATAACTACAATGAAAGGACTAATTGTTTCTAAAGAAGATACTGATTAAAAAAAAATAGAGGAGAACAGAAAAATGATGGAATCCTTGAATGAGCAATATAGAAAAGAAACAGAATGCATGAAGTAGATTCGAAGTGCTATACAGGAAATTAAAACCTCAATCACAAGCTGGCAAAGTGAAAATAGACTTGCAGACTTTGAAGACACTGTTGCAGCTAGTGAAAAGGTAAGAAAAAATCTCTTAAAAACAACTAGGAAAAAATAATTCAACATCTGCAAGACGATGCAAAGATGAACAATGTGAGACTAACAGGCATCAACGAGAAAGAAGGAATCAATACAAATAATATAAAAAGAATATGGGCAGAAGTAATAGAAAATTTCGCAAATATGGGGAAACAATCTGACATTCAATAACCAAAGCATATAGAACTCCAAATAACATCAACCCAATTAAAAACACCCCAGACATATAATAATCTAGATCCCAGAAATTCAGCATAGGAACAGTATACTAAAGGTTACTAGAGAAAAGAAATAGATCACATTTAAAGGAAAACCCATCAGAATAATGGCAGATTTCTCTTCACAAACCATCAAGTCAAGAAGAGCATGGAGCAAAGTACTTCAAGTCTTGCAAGAAAACAAATTCCAACCCAGACTACAAAACTCTCTTTTAAGTTTAATGGAGAAGTGAAATATTTCCATGACAAAGAACAACTAAAGAATTTCATGACAACAAAGTCAACCCTACACAGACTACTAAAAGATATTCTAGAGAGGGATCAAAATGACCACAACTCCATGAAGTAGAATGGAAAGAACCCACCAAATAGGGCAAACACAGGATAAAAAGAGGTATACAACAGCAGCCTTTCAATTATTCTTTTGTATACAGCAGCAAAACATTTTCATTAGCATACTCTACAAATGGACTTCTCCTGTACCCTATGGGTCATGATTCTGTCCAGGTCTACAGGGTGGATATCAAGGAAATAGCAGTAGCTCAGTCCCACAAGTGACATCAGGTCACCAGTAAGCGTCATGGACACTGTCCACGTCCACCACATACTAGAACTTTGTGGACTATCCTAGCCCCAAACTGTTAGTCCAGTATTTTTGTTATGTTTTATTCTTAGTAATTCTTTACTATCATGAAAACTTTTTCTTAGTTGATATTTTTATATATATTAACCTAATCAAATACTGTGTGAGTACTTTGAATTGATCAGATTCATACATATGATACACTACATTCTGACCTCTTAGTTGGACTCACAATTTAATTTTAATTTTTGAATATTATTTAATTTTTTCTTTTATGATTTATACTGTTTCTTTGACTTACAATCTACTTTTAAGACATGGTATGATACTTTCTCCCAGTATTAGAAACTTTAAAAAGTGTATTTCCATTTTCCATTGACTTTATATTAGTTCTTGTCTTTTACACACACACACACACACACACACACACATCTATATAAAAAAAATATGTATAGAACCTGACATAAGGATATTGTTGTTTTGTTTTGTTTTGTTTTTTTGGCGGAACCGGGGATTGAACTCAGGCCCTTGTGCTTGCCAGGCAAGCGCTTATTCTACTGAGCCATCTCCCCGGCCCCAGGATATTGTTTTGATACTGTTTTATGGAAATCTTCAATGACCTTTTACATGGGTTCGCATATATGTGTGTGGTGTGTGTGTGTGTGTGTGTGTGTGTGTGTTTGTGTGTGTGTGTGTATTTTTTTCAGAACCAGGGATTGAACTCAGGCCCTTGTGCTTGCCAGGGAAGTGCTTATTCCACTGAGCTATGGCCCTGGCCCCAATTATATTTTACATAGTCCTGCATAACTACCATTTTGAGAGTTCTTTATTCTTTATCCAGGACTATACAGCAACTTCTCTTGCCTTCTGGATTATGGCCTTTGTTATTTTTCTATGCTACAGCTGGAGGTATTAGAATATTTCAAGTTTGTATAACTGGAAAATATTTTACTTTTAGTTTTCAAAGGTATGTTTGCTAAGTACAAAATTCAATGAGGACAGATCTTTTTTTCCTTCAATCCTTCGAATAAATAAGTCTAGTTTCTTACCCACTTGCTTTTTTTTATTTCTAATGTGCATTAAGATGCAATTTAATTTTTTTCTTCCATAGCTAATATTTTTTTCTATGTATGTGCTTTAACGATTTTTTTTTTTACAATTACTTTTGGATCATTTCAGTTTTGTGTGTATCTTGATATGATGATTTTATTCATATTTCTTACTTCAAGAAAATGTGGTGTAAGAATTTTAACTAAATACAGAAATCTTAAAGCTTTAAATATTTATTGCCTACCCTCTTCTACTTTGAGAATTCTAATTATATGAATATAAGTGTTTTGATTTTGGCATAAAGAGAACTATTATATGAATGATCTGTAAACTCTTCATGTTTATTTTAGACAATATTTATTATTATAGTCATTTAAGTTTGTAAATTATTTTACAATGTGCAATCTATTATTAATCTCATGTTATGTATTCATTTGAAAAATATTTTTCTAAAATTCACTCTGTCTACATCTTATATCTTTCACATTTCAATATTTATTTATAATTTTTAATTTACTATATATTATTTTCAATAAAGTTAATAATGAGTACAAAAAAATAGCGCAAAGTATACTTTGTATAGAGTTCTAGGTCAGGGAGAAATAAACTGCAGTGCTAAGAATTGTAACAGTAATTTCCTCATGGCTTACATGAAAATAGGCATTGGTTAACTTTCCAGAGTAAAAGAAGTGTTTTATATTTTGATTAGATAGTTGTTACATACATATATTAGTTAAAAAGCATCAAAAACTGCATGCTTAAAATGTGCATATCTTGCCGGGCTTGGTAACATGCACCTGTAATCTCAGAATTGAAAGAGTCTGGAAAGTTTGAGCCCAACCCAGGCAACTAAGTGACTTTGCGAGATTGTCTCAAAATAAAAGTAAAAAGTCAAAAGCTGGAATATAGTTCAGTGCAAAAGCTATGGGTTCAACTTCCACTATTAAAAAAGAAATCCCAAAACACAAAATATGAAAAAACTGCCCCGCATATCTTATTGTATATAAATAATATCTCAGGTTTTGTTTGTTTTTTTTTTCAAAAATCTTTTTATTTTATTTTAATTAATTAATTAATTTATTTATTGGCAGAACCGGGGATTGAACTCAGGTCCTTGCACTTCCCAGGCAAGCGCTTATTCTACTGAGCTATCTCCCCAGCCCCAATATCTCAGGTTTTGAAAAAATTATACCAATAATGCTCCACTGAGGAACACTACTCTTTCACCAGCATATTTTTGTTTCGTAAGGAAAGGTCTGTATTTATCCTGAGTTTATCAAACACATGGATCTTAAAAATGTTTTTTTGGCATAGTACAAATAAAGCACTAAAACAATTCAGCCATCTCTGTCAAAGAATAGAGAAAATATTAAGAATGACTAATTTTCACATTATCAATAAAACAAAGCCTAATGACTAGGGATATACCTTAGCAGTAGATAGGCTGCCTAACATAGGCAAAACCCTGGATTTCCAGCACACGAGGGAAAAATGAAGAATAAAACATGGAAAATAAAGTTCTTGAGAAAGAACGATTGTTATTTTTCTGCTGCCAAAAACTGTATCTTTACAGAGTTACTTAGAAGTCCTTAATATATGGCAGACTTTATTAATTTGGCAATTTAAACTTTGTTTTAAAACTCAGTAAGACCATTTTAAATAGCAAAGAGAAAGACATCAGAAAGATAAAAAAGAAAAATCCACAAATACCTTTATGATCTGAGCCAGAGACACACTCTCCTGCTGAGCAAGTGAAATGCCTCTAACTCTTTCTACATCTGACAGCTGGCGCACTGACTCCTCAATGGCATTCAGATAACTTAGTTCTACTGCCATACGATGTTGGAGGCCAGCAGGAGAAAATCGCTTAGAGCCTGTATATACAAAAATAGTCAAATGGAAAAGTTTACATGATATTACACCTCAGATTTCTAAAATTTATTTCTATGAGTCAAAAACAAGTCTGCTTTCCTGTGAAAAGACAGTGGCTTACTATTTTAATAGTTACTTCTTTTATGCTGTGCTGCGTTCCCATGTGTATACAAATATATATAGGACTTTGTGTGTTTGTGTGTGTATGCTAAACAATGTTATACAAATTTACTTTCTTTACTATCATTAAACTTAATAAAGCATGACTTATGCATATACTAATTCAACATAATCATTATGCTTTTTTTTGGCGGAACCAGGGATTGAACTCAGACCCTTGCGCTTGCCAGGGAAGTGCTTACTCTAGTGAGCCATCTCACCAGCCCCATAATCATTAATTATGTTGAACAATTGACTATGAATACCCCCTTTATACATATTTCAGGTGTCTTAACATAGGAAAAAATGGCCATTATCAAATATGTCATGATTTTTAGTATTTACTTTGCTGCACAGTGTTTAGTTACTACTTAATGATATTGACTCAAAATAACATCTCTCTGGATGAACTGAAAGAAAAGTTGTTTCCAGAGGGAAAACACGAAACAACTTATTTTTAAAAATGTTACAGCATGGATTGACTTGCCTGGTGTTGAAGCCATCTCTGTTGCTCTGTTGGCAGCCAGGTTCACATCAGCGAAAGCTGCATTAGGGTTAAATCCTGCTGTAGTTGGAGGTGTTATTACAGAGGACTTAGATCTTTCTAGTGAAGCTCCTGGAAGGTCAAACTGTATCAATTTGTGGGAACTTGGAGATAGAGGAGAAGTTGGAGTTTTCTGAGATCTTCCCTTGTCTGACGAGACACTAAAATTTTTGTTTCATAAAATTATTAGAGAAAGGAACTACTATAGGCTAAACAATCTGTTGTTATACAAATTACTTTCTTTTCCAACATTAAAACTTAAAAAACATGAGTCAGGCATGTAATCACTTAACATAATCTTTATGCTGAACAACTATGAATACTCCCTTAACTGACAATTTAAAGTGTTGACCAAGCTAAGTACAAATTCTACCCTAAATAAAATGCAAAGTGGGGGGTGTCTCTTGATTAAATTGGCACTTAACTCTTTCTTCTACAAAGCACATATATCATCATTTACTCATTGAAGTTTGAAGCAAAGTCTTCTAAAATAGACATATAGCAATAAAAAGACAAAAAGACATTTCATCTTGTAAGTTTTATTTTTTTATATTTTTTTAATGAATTTAGGACAGAGTCTACAGGATGTACAGGGTCTCACTATGTAGATCAGACTTGTAGTGACCCTCCTGTTTCCAGCCTCCCAAGCTCTGGAATTACAGGCATGCACCACCTCGCCCAGTCTCAATCACCATCTCAGTGTACCAAAGAGGCAGGGCTGGCACAGCACGCTGGGGATCAAACCCTGGCTGTGTTCTGCCTAAGCAGGCATTTTAGTCCACTGAGCTATCTGGCCAGCCCTTATCTTGTAAGTTTTAAAAATATGTCTTTGAATTCACCAAAATATTCCAATATAGTCCAGTAGTCCATAATAGTAGTGGGTTATCCATAGGACTGGCACACACCTACAATATTGAAATGGCAATGGATACCCATCTCTGACAAAGCTAAACAAAAAAAGGGGATACAAATGAAGGACCATTTTGTATCTGTCTAGTCAAAATAGGATAGATACACAGCTACTTTCTCTTAATTCAATGAATAGAAAGATTTGTACTAATAGTGTTTGTGGACAGGATATCATGTCTGCATCTTGTACCATGAATAACCACTAAGAAGACAACAACATGCAATGTACTAATTAGTGAAGCCACCCTACTAATCGGTTTTGAAATTATCTCATTGCTATTTGTTTCTCAATAAAATTATTTTCAAAAATGTCTTTAAGTAAGACATTTTGTATTAAAAATTAAATAAATTATCTGTCATCCTCTCTTCAGTTGACTGAAAAAAAAAATCACAGAAATCAGATAAAATCATTTTCATACTATTCGTCTTTAAATAATATATGCTGAACAGGTATGGTGGCACATACCTATAATCCCAGCACTGGGGAGGCTGAGGCAGGAGGATTGCCATGAGTTCAAGGCCAACCTGGACTACATATATATGCTAAATTCATTTCTTCAGTGATTTAATTCAGCTGGGCATGAGACACATGTCTGTAATCTCACCACTGGGGAGGCTGAGACAGGAAGATTGCTGCAGATTGGAGGCCATCCTGGGCTACACAGTGAGGTCAAGGAAAGCCTGAACTTAACTAAGTGCGAGACCCTGTCTCAAAATAAAAACAAAGCAAAACCCCTCCCCCGCCTCCATATATATATATTTTTTTTCATGTTTACATACAGCTTTTAATATCTCTTTCCCAAATAGTCCTCTCTCATAACAATAGGATTTTAACAACTCTTAAGACACCTATCTAACCCATCCTGGAGAAAGTAAGTGTATTAGACGTATCACTCCTTATAATACCAAGCATACTGCCTTGTACTGAATATTTATAGACTATATTGAGTCCAATATAAGAAGTCAGATTTGAGATAAGCTCTTGTGATATGGTTTAGGCTACCTGAATTCACTAGGTAGCCCAGGGTTTCTGTCCTTGAACTCACAGTGATCCTCTTGTCTCAGTCTCCTGAGTGCCGAGATTAAAAGTGTTCAACAACATGCCCTGCTGCTGCTCAAGACTCACAGAGAGGACGACAGAATCCTTCTGACTCAGCCACCCCAGTGGTGAGATCACAGACATGTGTCTCCATGCCCCACTGAACTAAATCACTGAATAAATGAAATGTTTTGGGCTTCTGATAAATTATTGGACAATTTTCAAAGATAAAAATGTCTCTTCTATCCAGCATGAAAACATAGTCTTGAGTTATATTGACTTGTTTATAAAGACTTTAATTTCCTGATGATGGTTTAAGGAAGTATTACAATAGACTCCCTTGTAAGTGAGGCATATGTTCTAAGTCTCCAGTGGATGCCTGAAACTTTGGATTGTATCAAATCAAACTTGGATATACTAGATTTACACACACACACAAATTTAATGTTTCTGCTACCTTAAAAGCATTTATTGCACTCTATGGCTAAAATGAGTTGTGGTAACAAAACTACCATAAATTTCTTCTTCCTTCTTCATAATTTCATGGATAAAATATTCATTTTTCTTTTCTTTATTATTTTTTAATGTAGTATAGGGTCTACAGGGTCTCACTACATAGATCGGACTCATAATGATCCTCTTGTTTCCAGCCTCCCAAGCACTGGGATTACAGGTGAGGGCCACCACACCCAGTCTCAATCTCTGGCTCAGCACACCCTGGGGTTGGGGCCAGCACAGCTTATGGTGACAGGGATCGAACCCGGTCCCTGCACTCTGCCAAAGCAGGCACTTTAATCTGCTGAGCTATCTGACCAACCCTCATTTTTATTTTAGATCTTAGAAGCTTCAGCATGTATTTTTTCCTGTTTCTGAATAATCAAGCTGTTTTAATTCTTCCTTTAAAAAGAAGCACATTCAAAATTCTCTGACATATCTGGATCAGCAGCTATTAAGCCATTACTAAATAGAACAATGTCTACTTAAACACAAGTAATATCACAATGATAGTCAATCTGACAAACAAGATGGTTACTGACTGACTAATGGGCAAAGCAGGTACATATAGTACCAATACACACTGGGCAGGATGATGCTAACAGGGAGGGGACCTGGGTGGCCTGATGTATTGCACCAGAATGATGTATAAATTGAAACTTATGAAACATTTATTTCTCGATTTTTCCATTTAATATTTCTGAACTATAACTGACAACAGATAAGTGAAACCATCCAAAACAAAATTGAAAATAGATACTATATTTCTAACAGTCTGTTAATTTCACTAATGGAATCTAAAAAAAGAATTGTCATTTCAAAGTCCAACATGACATCAAACAAGATGTCATGAAACTACTCTGTATCTCACCCTATGGTTTTACAAGATGAATTTATATTTGCTTTTCATAGAAGAGTCCCTTAGACTAGCGTTTCCAAAAGTGTATTTTCAACGATTTTTATTAAGTTTTCCAAGAAATAAAAAGACAGGGAAAGGGATTAGGGACAAAGAGTGTCTATAGCCAAGGACATTGATTATTTAATTTATAATAAATTAAAATGTATGACTAGACAAAAATTTTTAAATCTTTGTTCCTGTTTATCAAAGTTTCAGGGCTTGCCGGTTAGCTCAGCTGTTTAAAGCACCTGCATGGGCAAACGCAGTCAGGCACAGGGGATGGTGGTTCGATCCCCAGCTCCACATGCCGTACTGGGCCTGCCGTTAAGGTAGGCTGAACAAGCCAAAAAAAAAAAAAAAAAAAAAAAAAAATCAAACAAACAAGCAAACAAATCATAAAAGCTTCAAATTATTTTAACTATTGTGACTTTTCATGAGTAGGAAAGGGGATGTAGATTATAATATGGGGCATTTATCAAATGACATTTGATAAATGTTAAAATTCATAAATATCAAAATGATAAAATTTATATTTATTTTGTGATGGTGCCTGTATTTTATTTTATTCTATTTTTTTATGTATTTAGTGCAGGGTCTATAGGGTCTCACTATGTAGATCGGACTCAGTGATTCTCCTGTTTTCAGTCTCCCAGGCACTGGGATTACAGGTGCGTGCCACCAAGTCCTGTCCCAGTCTTCATCTCAGTGCTGGGGCAGGGCCAGCACAGCAGGCCAGGGATGAAACTCCGCCACTGCGCTCTGCCTAAGCAGGCGCTTCAGTCCACTGAGCTATCTGGCCAGCCCTGGTTCCTGTATTTTAGAAATGTTTAACTTTGTAGATTTTGCCAAACTATAGTATTCTTTTTTTTTTCTCCGAATGCCTTCAGGGCAGGTTTGGCTGGCTTGAATTGTGGGGATTGAACCACAGCAACCTGAGGCTGACTGCTTTGTTGAAGCAGCCACTTAAAGAACTGAGCTAAGGGGCAGGCCCCCAAACTATAGTATTCTTAAGAAAAGATAAAATTTTCTGATTCATAAAATCATTGGCAAATTAAATTTTACATATAGTAATGATAGTATCAATGATGCACTATGAAAGCATTACAAATAGTTACACGTATGTGATGTTGTATTAGAAAAAAATATGTAATTACTTTAAAAAAAATATCAATCCGTGTCTCTCAGAGCCTTCATTTCCAGAAAGGACAAGACTAGTGCACAGAATGAAAAATAATGTGAATGAATTCATAGGAACTATACAGGAAGCAATAACTGAAGGTTATGTGGAACATGTAGCCATGCACTGTATGTAACAATATAGAGGGGAAAAATATAAGGTATGCAAGTTCCATTACGAGTGAAATTTCAAAATCTCTTTTAGTAAGTTAAGAAAGAGAAAAGTTTAAAAGAAGTCATTTCAACAGTGTGACCAAAAGGATGTTAAATAGCGGTAGCAAAAGGGTGGAGGGGGCCAGCCAAATAGTTCAGTGGATTAAAGCACCTTCAAACAGGCGCTGGAGCTGGGGATTCTATCCCTTGGCCTACTGTGCCGGCCCTGCCCCAGGGGCAGGTGGAGAGGGCAATTGCGACTGGGCATAGTGGCACATGCCTGTAATCCCAGTTCTGGGGAGGCTGTAAACAGACGGATCACTACGACTCCGATCTAGTAGTGAGACCCTGAACACCCTGTAGACCCTTCCCTAAAATTAAAAAAAAAAGGGGGGGGGGTGAAGGATCAGTGCAGACTAAAGTGCCTATTAAGGCAAAGTTAGGCACACACAGGGACAGTGGTTGGATCTCTGGCACCACATGCATTGCCAGCCCCACCCCCAGGACGGGCTGAGCCAGCCCCAGAGTCCAGGCCAGGTGACACACGCCTGTAATTCCAGCACTGGGGAGGCTGAAAACAGGAGGATCACTATAAGCCCAAGCTGCATAGTAAGATCCTGTAACAACCAAATACATTAAAAAATAAAATAAAAATAAAAGGGTGGAAGAATACAGCTAGAATTTAGAAAGCAAATTTTCTGTGCACAAACAAAAAATGAGATACTCTGTAGTAGTCCCACAGGAACACACAAAATAAAATTAGATTCTTACAGTTAATCTCTAGAGTAGTCAACCTTTCAAACCACCCCCAAAAGAGCAGATGCTTAGGGAAATAATGACTGAGTCAAGAACAATATGGTAATGGCTTTCAAGTTAGAGAGGTGGTTTGTGCTTGGGGTGGAGAATTACTGAAAGAGAAGTTATAAAAGTTTAGATAAAAGATGGCCATACCCTAAAATACAAAGTGAGGAAGAAAAAAGACTATTCAGAAAGCACAAAATTTTATAGTAGCTCAGACACAATTATGCACAGTTAAGCATGCACAGTTAACTGCCACAGTGAAATTTATGAAGAGGAGTCTTTGAACATAATATAGTAACTTTAAACATGAATTATAGTATCTCAAGACCAATGACATTACAACTTCAGCTATCTATAAATTATAGTATTAAAAGGTATAAGTATTTTACTAAATGTGCTGCCAGAGTAAGCACAAAAAAGGTATAAATAAAAATAAAAGATAATAGGAGGTTGGGAGAGATCTTTCTCAGACAGAAAGGTAACCAAAAGATGAAGAACAGGGAAAACAGGAGGGATGGGAGATTAAAAAAATTACAAAATATTATGTATATATGCAAACTTTACACAAAGAAGGTAAATATTATGTACTACAAACAATTACCCAAAAAAAGTAAAAAACAGATAAGTGAAGGGAACAAGGAGGTAATGGAAAAGGAATGAAAGAAGAAATTAAGATGTATTTAGTACATGTACCAACCCCTGACTAGAATGTAAACATTGTGTATTTCCAACACATACTACTAAAAAAAAAAAATTAAAAAAGAAAAAAATGCAAAACTATATTACTTTACCTCACAGAATACCCAGAAAGTTCTTCCAAAGTGCCATCAGTGTCCAGAGTCTGCTCATAATCTCTAACAGAGAGTTTACCACTGGTTCCAGATTTCTTTCCTTGGTGGGAACCATGTTCTGAGCTGGACTGTACCTTTTCTTCATCAATGAGTGAGTTCTGAACATTTCCAATGAATGAATCTGACCCTGTAGAGGAAATTTCTTATAAAGCTGATTTCTAATATTAGAGAAACTAAGACAGGTTTTTGTTTTTGTTTTTAATTTTAAAGCCAACTCTGAACCAGACCTGGTGATGCACATGTGTAACCCCAGTACCTGGCAGCCTCAAGTTTGAGGCCAGCTTGGGCTACACAGTGAATTCAAGGTCATCCTAAACTACACAGCATGGCTGTCTCAAGAAACAACAACAAAAAATTCTGATTTCTGATATATGCCAAACCAGACATGAACTTTCAACACATTATATGCGAAGTCTAATTCCTAAACAGTTATTATAAAATTCTACATATCCTTTCCTTTCTGGTTCCCCAGCCATCTTGGTGGCTGCTCCTGGTTGAGGGCCATCCACACCTAAGACTGGAAGATGGTGGCCTCAAAGAAAACAAAAAAATCTCTGGAGTCCATCAACTCTAAGCTCCAACTTGTTATGAAAAGTGGAAAATACGTGCTGGGGCACAAGCAGACGCTGAAGATGATTGGACAGGGCAAAGCGAAATTGGTCATCCTTGCCAACAACTGCCCAGCTTTGAGGAAATCTGAAATAGAGTACTATGCTATGTTGGCCAAACCTGATGTCCACCACTACAGCGGCAATAATATCGAACTGGGCACAGCATATGGAAAATAGTACAGAGTATGCACACTGGCAATCATGGATCCAGGAGAGTCTGATATCATTAGAAGCACGCCAGAACAGACCGGGGAAAAAGAAACCAAGGAATTTTTCATTAATAAAACCTGCCACAGCTTGTTTAAAAAAAAAAAAAAATAAATAAATAAATAAATAAATAAAATTCTACATAGTCAAACTCATAAAGACAGAAAGTAGGACAGTTGTTATCAGCCTGGTGGAGAAAGGAATGAATAGACATTGTTTAATGGACATAAGAGTTTCAGTATGGGAAGATGAAAGTTTTTGCAATGGACAGCAGTGATGGATGCATGACTGATGTATAGTATTACTGAAAAATACACCTAAAAAGGATTAGAATAACAAATTTTATATTATATATATTTTATCACAATAAAAATAAAATCAGTTTTTAAAATGTTAACATTGGTTATCTCTAGGCAGAAGGATAACTGGCAACATTTTATTTTCAAATACAATGTTCTATATATTCATATCCTTCCCTACTTCTTTCTCCTACTCTTACTACTCACCACCTTTTTTTATCTCAAGGAGCAGAATTTACTTTTACAAGTAGAATAAACAATTTTGGAGGAAAATCATACTCTAGTTTGAGGCCATAATATGAGTTTAAGAGGCTTTTGCATAATCCTCTCCTCAAATATGCGCCTATAGAAAAATTAGTCAGTGATCTTCAGAGATGTGTAAAATATATTATAAAATGTTTTGGTTTTGTAGCAATAAACTCGACATATTAATTAAATTATCATTTAAATTAAAAAGTGCAGGTCTTGCTAGTTCAGGTTGGCCCTGACTTGCTATGAAGCCTAGACTAGTCTTAAACTCCCAGCAATCATCCTGCCTCACCCTTCTGAGTGCTGTGATTATAAGCACCTATCACTATGGGTGTTATAATGGTTTTTAAAGAGCAGTTTCAAAGGCAGTATTATGTGCATTTGTTTTTTCAGTAAAGGTATGTGTGTACGTGTGTGGTTTTATGCGTATTTTAGAAAAACAGACACGAAAAACATTCAGTTCTTTCTTTCCTTTCCTTTCTTTTCCTTTCCTTCCACATAGTGATCCCCCTACTTTCAGCCTCTGGGATTACAGGTGTGCGCCACTAAGCCTGGTCTCGGCAGTAGGCTCAGCATGCCTGGGGGTGGGACCAGTGGTCCCTATGCTTGCCTAAGCAGGCACTTAGTCCGCTGAGCTCTCTCACTGGTCCTGCTGTTATTTCTGAATAGAATGATTATGGGGGATTTGTATTTCTTGGATGATTGTTTATCTGTAATTCTTAATTTTTTAAAATAATATATGCACTTTGTATTAAGAAAAAGATTTACAATGCTATATTTCAAATGGTACATATTACAGTAATAAATATGAAAGTCTACTACATTATCATAAAGAAATTCCTCTTCTTGTGGAACCAAACCATAATTTTGGATCACTACCATAAAATAGTTGTTAGTACACAAGTCACCATGTAAAATTCCACTTACATTCTGTCTTTTCCTTTTTTTCTTTCTTTCCTTTTGAAGAAGTAGATGAACGAGACGAAGCAACAGACTGGGCTCCTGATGAATGCTGGGAGGCAACATCCATGCAGGAAAGATCATAGGCAGACTTTCTGCTAGAATGGTCCTCCTGAATACCTAAACTGTTGCCCCCAATACTGTCAAAGAAAAATAACGGTTAAAAAGAGACTACAAATTTTATTTCAGAGCACTCAGAGCCTGCAGAATAGGCAGCATGAGTAAAGTTCAGCCTCTAGAGCTGAAAAAAAATGTATGTACAAGTTATCATTTAAATTGTGGCAGACATGTCCAAACATTGTAGAGATTTGATTGATCCCTTTATGAATACTGTGATAGGTCACAGAAACTAACAGACAACATAGTATTGAACTGGTAGTGATAACATAAGGAAATAGGATACATCATTAGAAGTTTTGGAACTAGTGTAAGTAATGGCTGTTTAGCAGAGACGTCTGTTCCTTCTCTCCAAAAGACCTGTTCTACTATGATAAAAAGATCAAGTTGTGTACATTTTCACATTAAATGTCTTACAAACTTTTTACAAGTTCAAAAAAATCTTTTTGTAAGTTTAAACAGCTTTAACTTTAAAGATAGCTAAATGAAAACATTTTCAAAAATCTTTTTTAATAACAAGAATTTAAAAACAGTAAAAGATGGCTTTCATTTTACTTTTCGTTTTGCTTACTATCATAAGTGTGAATTATTCCTGGCTCAAATTACAGTTGAGAAAAATCTCCCCGGTTCCACAAAAAAAAAA